GGTTAAGGGTTTAGGGTGTAGGGTGTAGAGTTTAGGGTTTAGGGTACTGTTGTGGGTGTTGCTTCCCCAGATCAGGATAGTACATTCTGCTATAGAAACCCTAAACCCTGAACCCTAAACCCCAAGCCCACATTCGACCCGGTATAGGTGCTTCGGGCCGTTTGGGGAAAGCGGGCCTGCTTCGGATGAAAAGGGATCTAAAAGGGGTTCAGGGTTTGGGGTTCTTTTAAAGGGATCGAGAAGGGATTTAAGGTTTAGGGGTCCTTTAACTGGATCTTTTAAGGGGGTTAAGGTTTAGGGTTCCTTTGAAGGGATCTGTAAGGGGTTTAGGATTTTGGGTTCGGTTTTTTAAGGGAACTGTAAGGGCTCTAAAGTTTAGGGGTTCAGGGTTCACAGCTGGGGTACAGGATTTCAGGTTTAGGGTTTAGGTTTAGGGTTTATGTTGTGGGTTTTGGGGTGTAAGGTTTTGGGTTGGGTGTTTGGCTTTGGGGCTCAGGGTTTAGGACCTAAGTTTAGGATTTAGGCCTGGCTTTTAAGTTTTGGTGGGGCGTTGGATCGAGGTTTGGGGTCAGGGTTCGGGTGCTTCGGGGTTTAGGGTTCCCTTCGCCCGGGGTTTAAGGTTCTGGGCTTGAAATTGCGGCGGGAATTTAAACTTCCTCTCGCCCGAAGTTCAAGCCTAGCCTAGTAAGACATTCCTCCTCAGGGCTTCAGGTTCGGAGTTTAAAGCGTGCGGCCACAGTTCTAGATACCCATGCGCCTTCGAGCGTGCCGCCCAAAAAAAGTATCAGGCACGCCTAAACACACCAAGCCACAAATCCCACACCGAAATACATGAGCAACCGCATAAACTTTCGAAGCATAGAACCAATCAGTTCTCGCTTCTGAATGCAACCCCCGATTAGTCCTCAACAGCCTGCGATGAGGGCAATATAGGGGTCCAAACAATTAGCAAAATCGCTCGTAGCCGCCTTACAAGTACCCTGTGGTACAATACATCCCGCAAAACCCTATTCTGGTTATTAAAACCCTGTCTTATGAATGTAGGGGCCTAAATAATTACCAATACTATTTTGGGGGTCCTTTATTATAACTAAAATATAGTCGGCCCCAAAACCCTATTCTAATAATTAAGGCCTTCCGTGTTATCTTACATGAGAGAGGGTCCTGGCGCAGGTGACATCTTTGACAAGACCGGATCTGTCGTCCGGCATTGGGAGCTTCGAGACAGACTGCATTGAGATGAGGACATCGGGAGCAGTTGAGTTTCAGGGCCCTAAGCCCTAAATCCCTGAAGTTTTGCAGCGCTGAAGCCGTTTGAACCCCAAGCCCCTAAACCCTAGCCCTTAACCCCTAAGCCCATAAGCCCTAAACCCTTAACCCGTCAACCGTAACCATGTATAAGCCCTAACCCAAATGCTTCCAGGGACCTCATTATTGGGTCCCTGAGAGGAGTCTAGGGCCCTAACTATAATAAGGTCCTTGGAAGCACGGGTAATTCTAGCAATGCCAGAGCCTACAATTTCTGGTTTTTGAGGGACCCGAATGCGTTGATCGGATGGAGTGAAAGCCGCAGATCCCAGTGTTCAGGCCCCATATTGGGCCCTACCGTTCGGCTTGCTCTTTGTCGGTATGTATGTTTTGCTTTTTTAGCCTGACCCTATCTCAGAGTCCTAAACCCCTAAACCCTAA